CTGCTTTTATCTAATTTAGGCCATTTGTGTTGTGCTTCCCTATACTTATCCAGAGACGGCCACCGGACGATTATGTCGTAGAACAAAATAAGACGACAAACGTTAAGCACCGTTTTCTTCGGCAGTATTTTAACCTGTGCAGTGAACTGGGGTTTCCTGCTTCGAGTTCATTATTCAGTGTGGAGCTGAGTGCTGAGCCGGAACCATGGAAAAGATTAGGGGTGTGGCCGCTGAAGGCCATGGAAAAGCTGATGTTTCTTGCGTTTCTGCACAACACGCGCTATGCTGGCTCTATTCATTCCATCTGCCTGCGGAAAGAGAGGTCCTTATGGCAAAATATCGATTTGATGTTGCATTAGAGAGGCAATTCACTATCAGTACTAGAAGAAGGAGGGGTGGTAAAAGTGATTCATTAGCAGCCGGCCAGACAGAGTATCATTCTTAAGTTCCATCTGTAGACTGCACACTTTTCTGAGAGGGAACGTCTTCAGTTCTCGTTTCGCTCACAAGCAGAAATATTCTCCTATATCTGTGTTAGCTGCAAAGCTTCTCCAAATAGGATACTTATCTCTCTTCGGTTGGATAAGGCACTTGTGCTTCAGCAGAAATGCCAACACATGGATTTCGATCTCATAAACCTCATTCTTGTCGGAACCCTTTAGTTTGACAAAAGATAGACTCTTCCTGCTTGATTTTGTGAGCCGCCGGACGTTCGATTCGGGAAGGGTGATTAATCACGCGCCAATCTGGGTTGCTTGCTTGACAAAAGAGAGACCAAGATGCAATGGACAAGCGTATAAGTGCCTACATTTTTACATTAAAAAACCAATGCGCACTACATGCCTTAGGAAGTTTTGAACTAATATTGTAGGTATTTAGCAGCCAAATCGTTCATGCTTGGGCAAGCGGTGCGCATGTTCTGTGTTTAAGCTTTCGTAATTTTGCTGCAATTACTTGTGACTCACTCGTGTTGCACTTTTACTTACAACCAACTACTTGTCTGCTGTTACCCACTTACTTATAATTTAAGCGTCCAAGCTTTGCCTTTTTCACTCCTCTTAGCAACGTTTCATTGCAATAATATTCCATATCGCAGTTTTTAAGCGTTTTTTTCGCAGATTTTGTATCTTTTTTTTTTTTGGAAGGGCAATTCGCCATTTTCGTCACTTCACCTCTGGCTTTGCATAAGCTCGCGATCGACCGCACAAAAATTCTGCTAATAATATCAGCAAGCAGCAGTTAACTGCCAACAGTCAACATTGGCCGAAAACCACTTGGCTGACGAGTCCTACGGCTAACCAAACAACAACTGCAGAACCAGTCAACCGGCGAACCGGTCAGCCAGACTGCCATTCAGCCGTTACAACACCAATGTTGCACTTGTTCTTCACGTCCATCTCAATGCGATCGCTGACTGGTAGTTAGTTATCGCCGCGGTGTTGCAATTCTCGCCCAGTGATGCCAAACATTCTATGTTAAATTATTCGCTGAAATCGAAAAATGTACCTCCATTACCTCCACGGAAATATAACATAACCATAGTGCTTACTTTCCTAAAATTCCTTTTTTTATTTTCCTTAGTGTTACCGCGTATTACTGGCGTTAACGTCCAAAGATAATTAATTTTGACTTCACACAAATCTGTATAAACATAATTACTGCAAGGGGGATAGAAATAATTTAATTTTGCAGCCTTGTTTAATTGTGTTACAAGAAAATCCATTTTCTATTTAAAACATCCCTTTTAGCCTTCTAATAATTGGTGTTGCAAAATATCCCTCAAATAGCGGAATTACGCACAATCTGGCATCACTGTTCTCGCCACTCACACCTCACAACTTTGTCTGCTCTCGTTCGCGAAAAAGAACGAGCATTTTGCCTCACAACTGCGCACAACTTCAAAGAATCCGCAATCATATTTAAAAACTGTTCAAAAGCTGCAAAGTTGCAATTTCAGCAGCCAGTAAAGCACCAGTTGATGCTACATAGTGACTGGGTGTCGATCTGCCGATCGATCGCGCGATCGATTGCTCGGACCGTCTTCGCCATTGGCATTTCGCATACATACATATGTATACTGTAACAACAGTAGCAGCAGATGATGCATACGAACGGCTAAGGAAGGTATGGTAATGGCTGTCGCGCAGTAGATCATGGATGGATCGCCGTTGCTGCCGCTGCTGGTGTATTGGGCAAGTGCAAAAGGCGGTGTTAATCTGACCAACAGGCTCTAAATGCCAAATGCCTCCAATGCGATGACTAGCAGTTGAACTGGGTTTGTTGGCTGGGCCGCTGGATGCTTTTCTTAGCATTTTTAGTATNGCAATAGTCACAGTTGCGCTTAATTTGTACCTCTGTGCACTTCATGTACAAACGGCGCAAAGAAACTACCAAAAAAGGTAGTAGGCATAAATAGTAATAACAACAACAATGCTTCTGAATAACAACTGCGGCAAACACGTCGGCTAGTCAACTGGTCGATAAACCTGTTTCGACCCATAAGGTACACATAGCGCAAACGCAACAATTTGCAACATGTATGCATGTATATCGTACACCGTCTTCGAAAGAGACACAACTCAAAATTTAGCATTTTTGAAATTATGCGGTAAAAATGTACACTGAGCTCTTATTTACCTTTCCGCCATGAAAAACAGCTTCTGATAAAAATACAATCGCCGTTCGGAGTCGGCGTAAAACAATAGGAAGGGACCTACATCAAGGCGTCAAACTAGTATTATTACCTATTTTTTATATATTCTTTTTAAGTTTTTAGTTGTTAAATTTAAATTTTATTTCATTCCATTTTATTATATTTTATTTTATTTTATTATATTTTATTTTATTTTGCTTTATTTTATTTTACTTTACTTTACTTTACTTTACTTTATTTTACTTTATTTTATTTTATTTTATTTTATTTTATTTTATTTTATTTTATTTTATTTTATTTTGTTTTATTTTATTTTATTTTATTTTATTTTAATTTTATTTTATTTTATTTTATTTTTATTTAATTTAATTTTATTTTATTTTATATTATTTTATTTCATTTTATTTTATTTTATTTTATTTTATTTTATTTAATTTTTAAAAAAATAATGCGAAACGTTATAAAAAAATTTTGAACAAAACAATTTTTTTTGTTATTAAAATTCAATGCCACCCCTTAGCGACTCGCAAATTGCACTTTATTACCAGAGCTGGGTCGTAATGATTTCTTTAGGAATTAAATTACTCCCAATTACAGATTACAAGGAATTGTAATTAGGAATCAATTCCTTCAGTTCACAGCAAAGGAATCGATTACTTTTTCAATTCCCTGAAGTAATTTCAAATGTAATTGGTTTTTTCTTTAATTCCATTACAAGGAATTTCATATTGTAATTGAAATCAATCACGTGCTAGTAATGTAATTTTTTTTCCAATCCCTTTGAAAGGAATTGAAAATGTAATTGATTTTTTTTTTCAATTCCATTACCTGGAATTGCAAGAGTACTTTAGTTTTTCAATTACTCAAAGGAATTGTAAAAGTAATCGAGAAACTGAAAGTTCATTCACGAATGTACAATACGGAATTTTTGTTGTGGTCAAAGATTAAAATCGAAAGCACACATTGGACATCTTCTATGTATGTATATCTATATCTATATACATATATAAAAATGTTGTGTTCGTATGTCACGGTCATCAAAACCCGAGAACGGCTGAACCGATTTGAATATTTTTTTTTTTTATTCGGTATAATACCAGAACCAATGATTTAGCAAAAATTTGGAGGGTTGCCACCTATTTTAAAATTTTTAAACCCAATTATATTGATAAAATTAATGAATTATTACAATATGGGTATCAAGTTAAAGAGGTTTAAGAAAGATAACTGCTGGAAGTATTTTTGACGAGGGTTGCCACCTATTTGAAAATTTAAACTCAGTCAAATTGTTGAAGAAATAAAATATTGCCATGTGGGTGTCAAACTAAAGAGTGTTAAGAGGCTTACTGCCGAAAATATGTTTGAGGAGGGTTGCCATCTGTTTGAAAATTTAACTAAATTACATTGATAAAATAAATAAAATGTTACAATATGGGTATCAAATTAAAGAGGTTTAAGAAAGATAACTGTTTGGGGTGCTGCCACCTATTTGGAAATTGTAACTCAGTTAAATTGATAAAGTAAATGAAATGTTGACATGTGGGTGTCAAACTAAAGAGTTGTAAAAAGGCTTACAGTCTACCATGAACACTTCCAGAAATATGCAATATGAAAAGTTCGGTTTATATGGGAGGTGCCACGCCCCATTCTCCAACCAAGCAAATTTTTCTCCATGCAATAATTTTTTGTATGCAATACTAGCAGGAAATAATGTTACACATACGCCATATCGTACATGACCGTATGATCATGTTAAAGTTTGAATTTTTTTCATTCGCAATGAAAACTTAAAATGAAAATAACATGACTAAATGACCTTATCTAAAACAACGGTATACAGATCCGTAACATACTACTTAAAATTAATTTTACGTCTCGGCGTTTTTTGTGTAATTTAGCGTTTACTTAAATTTTTCGATTACTTTTTAAATTACTTTGAGGAATGGAATTGGAAAAAAAATCAATTACATTTTCAATTCCTTTCAAAGGAATTGGGAAAAAATTACATTTTCAATTCCTTTCAAAGGAATTGAAATAAAAGAAATTACATTACTAGCACGTAATTTGTTCCAATTACAATATGAAATTCCTTGTAATGGAATTAAAGAAAAAAACAATTCCATTTGAAATTACTTCAAGGAATTGAAAAAGTAATCGATTCCTTTGCTGTGAACTAAAGGAATTGAATCCTAATTACAATTACTGAGGAATGTAATTGTAATTGTAATGTAATTGCATTTACCCAGCTCTGTTTATTACACTCAAATTTAATGATCAAAAGGGTTTTTTTTTTAATTTTGGTGAAATTTTTTTTAAAACATTTAAAATTTATTTTGTGAATCTTTTTTCGTTTCGGGAGCACCCTACAATTTTTTTTAATTCTTTTTTATTATGTAAATTTTATTAACTGGAACAGGAGAATCGATTTTCTTCAAAATTGCCACTTTTTCGGCACTTTGCACTTTAACCATTCAATACAAACAAAAAGAAAAAAAATCAATTGGTCTTTTGCAAATTTTATAAGCTTTCATCAATAATAAAAGCTAATCAAATTGAGTGAAAAATGAAGGCTCCAGTGAATTGAGAACACCAAATTTCAGTTTTGAACCACTGTGCAGCGGACGCTACATATCGCCGGTGATACTGTAAAACGTTCTAAGTCGCTTATTACCTATGGTGCTTAACTGATCTGTTATCTGTATCTGATCGCTTCTGGCAATCGTTCATCTTCATCAGCCAAAAGTAGGCGGCTTTGCCATTCATTTATTGGGGTGTAACGATTTGCAAATGCATTCCGGTTCAAGTAAGAGACCATCTAAGTGTCAAGGGTAGTAATAGACATAGACCGTTTCGCTGTATCACCGACGATATGTACCTACACATGTGGCATAAATTAGATTGCCTTTGCGTAAAAAAATATTTTTTTTTTGATTTTTTTTATATTTCTCAAAAACAACACCAAAACACAGAAGTGCCCTCATTAACGTTTTTCTTAAATATTTTTGTTTTAATTACTTTTTTACTGATCAGAACTAGTACGTACGAAATTCTATACTTAATTTTTTTGTGCGAATGAATTATAATTTTGGCTAAGCTTTGTGTGAATATCATAATTGTGACCATTCATTGCTGTCAAAGTTATAAATATTGATGACTTTGTTAATGAGAAAGAGATCAGCAAATACTTAACCCCACTTTTCACGCCATACAATTTTTGAAATTTCTTTATGCTTCTAAATTAAACATGTGTTTTTAAAAAGGGGGAATCTATTTAATACATAGAGCGGCACCATTTACGAATTACGGCATGGCCATCATACTAGTTAAGACAAATTTAGTATGAATTTATGTTTGGGAAACTCGTTTGTGGGTTCAATGTACGCTAAATGAATTTGGCACAAGTACAAACTAGAAAATATAATAATTATCAGAAAAGAAGGAAAAAAAAAAGTCAAACTCATTAAGCGCCGTTGCTTGCGACGAAATACTCCCCGTTCCAAATCGCACCGATAAGCGTTGCAAGCAATGTTCCACACTCAATCGTTAGTGGAGTAATATAAAACAAAAACAAAAAAAGAATCGAAAACACTGCAGAATGTCGATCATAATTCATTAATAGTTTGCGGCGAATAGGCGCACTAATCTACCAACGATCTAGCAGTCCAATGCGTTGCTTGCTTCGCTTTCGTTTGCTGCGCATGCGCTTTCGATGATTAAGCTGCGCGCGCGTACAACAATCTAAAATTGTTGGCAATTTATGCAAAAATCACGTTTGAATTCGATTAAGAGCAGCGAATGAGTATAGTGGAAATAAAGGAAATTCGTTGCAAGCAAAATAATTTGCAGCGAAAGGAAATACATAAAGCCATCTTATGACTACATACATTCGTTTTTATGCTCGCTTTCAGCATCCATGGGGCATGCAAAAAGATTGTCGCCTGTGTTGTTGTTTTATTTTTTTTTATTTTAGTATATCGCTGCATGTTAAACACAAAATTTGCATTCGACTTGTCGCAGTGGGTTGCAATATTGATCGATAGTTTGTTGCATTCGACGCGACCTCAGCACGCTTTATGTGCCCCACCAATAGCATCGGCATCAGCATCAGCATCAGCCTCTGCAAAAGCACCAACACTCTTTTTTTTCTGACCATTTAGTTCGATAGTGTCGTTCGATTCATTTGCTATTCTAAGTGGTTCATTTGTTTTGCTGCTAGAATAGTTTCTTTATTTCCTATATCTAAGGATGTGTTTGTTCCTTAATGTGTTTTCATGTTGCACCAAATTGTTGCAATAAATTTAATAATCACTTTATGCCATTTGTTCTTAGCAGTTTATTCTTTGCTTACTCAATTCATTCCTTTTCTTTTATTGTAAAATCTTTTTACAGTCTCGCGACGCTCCTTCGGATGAGGAAATGCGTGATTGTGATTCGATCGATGGTGATCATCATCATGTAATTCGTGCAACACGTTTAAATGTCGCATCTTTGAAACGTAACCACAGTCACAGCAACAGCAACAACAACAACAAAAATACTAATAATAATAATAACAATAACAATATTGGCGGTGGTGATATGAGTTTTGGTGGCAACGCCGGCAGTGCAAGTATCGGTGTTGGCAGTGGTATGGGTGTGCGTAGTCCCGATCGTCACGCTGATCTTCAAATGAGGTAAATTAGTTATTAGTTCGATACTGGTGGTGCTTGAAGAGTGCAGTTTGGCACTACATATTGGTGGACATATGACATTGAATTTTTGTTCTTTTTTTTATTATGTGCCTTTGCAGTCATCATCATCAGTTTCCTTCGAATCATCCGCTAAATGCGCTCGGTAATTTCATGGGCATTGGCGGTCTACATGGCATTCCAAATCTACAACACAATGATGTGTTAGAGAAGCTAAAGATGCAAGTTCGTGATATGAAAGTGGGTCTAATGGTAAGTGTTCGAGTAAACTAAGCAAGCAACAAATGACTGAGGGTTTTAACTTAATCATATTTGAGTGTACCGTGTACGAGAGCCTGAACCTTTTGTAGCTGTAAAAATGTTATATTTCGTTTCCTGTTTCATTACTTGCTTAAAAGAGTCGTGTGCTCTCGTTGTTTTTCTCTTTGACCAGAGAATAAACTATGTTTACTACACAAGGCAAATTTTGTCAACGCGACTCAGTTGATTTTTTGTCAGTTATGGGAGCACAAAGCGTGTTGCTCGAGCACCGACGCAGAGTGGTTCAAAAATTGCATTTTGTGTTCACAATTCTAATGAAGTTTCCAGTTTTCACTCAATTTGATTACCATGAAGGCAAAAAAATTTGCAAGAAACCAGTTCGGACCGATTTATGAATTGTGGTTTGTTTGTATTAAATTTTTTAGTGCAAAATGCAGAAAAAGTAGCAAATTTTGAATAAAATTGATTCTTCTGTTCCAGTTAATAAATGTTACATAATAAAAACTAGGTGAAAACAATTATAGGAATCTCCCAAAACAACAAAAAAAAATCATTTTAAATGTTATAACAAATTTTCAAAAAAATCAAATTTTGAAGTGAAACTTCTTAATCGAATTCGGAGATGGTTGCGTTAAATACTTTACACCATATCATAAAATTTGTATCGTTCGTTTGATTTTCAAAAATGAGGTGTCAAATTAAAGTGCTTGTCCTTTGAAGATGAAGATGAAGATGAAGATGAAAATGAAGATGAAAATGAAGATGAAGATGAAGATGAAGATGAAGATGAAGATGAAGATGAAGATGAAGATGAAAATGAAGATGAAGATGAAGATGAAGATGAAGATGAAGATGAAGATGAAGATGAAGATGAAGATGATTATTTAGTCTCACGATGTGGTGATCCAACGAACAGAGTCATACTCTTTTCTTATGAAAATATTGAATGTTCTGTTCATCATCATCATTTCGCAATCTGGATGAATTTTGCCATATTTTCGTTAAGTCAAGGAAAGTTAGATATGAGGAGTTCGGTCCTTTTCATAAGAGTAGATTCCACTTTTGTATACCTTTTTTATAGTCAAGTTGTCAGGCCCTTATTATAAGCGGAGTAAGCGCTTAAAATTATTTATGCATTGCTTGCATCCTCTTATTTAACTGAAGCAGACACTCTAAAATTTCCTTCTTCTGTCTTCATTTCTCCTTTACAGGAACAAGACTACGCCGCTGCACATGCGGCCGCTTTCGCACCAAATCTTTTACCCGCAAACTTAAATCCAGCATTTTCGCTGCCACCCACATCAATGAGCCAGTTCGAGCATCGCGCGCAGAGTCTGGCTGTACAAGCGGGCGGCGGTGGTGGTGGTGGAAATGTCAACACAAGCATCTCCAATGGCAATTCACAAAATCCACACAACAGTGGCGGCAACAACAATTTGAGCATGAGTGGCGCGTCGTGTTTGACAAATGGCGGTTCTGGCCTGCTTGGTGGTGGTAGCGGCAGTGGCGCCGCTGGTATGGGTGGTGGAGTCGGTGGCGTTGGTGGAGGTGGTGGTGGTGGCAGTGGCAGCGGCAATGGTGGCTTCTCATTCACCTCACCAACGGCACCGAGCTCAAAAGACGGTAAGATTTATAATGTTAAACTAATTTCTAATAATTTGTTTAGCGAATTTATCCATTTCAGAAAATAATAATTATGATTTGATATTTTTGTGTGTTTAAAAAAGTGAATTAAATTTTCCTGCTAAAAAAAAATATTTTTGTCTTCTTTTCATAGTTAATCCCGCATCGAATTCTTCCACATCCAGCGAAGCGTCCAATTCATCTCAACAGAACAATGGCTGGAGCTTCGAGGAACAATACAAACAAGTGAGACAGGTGAGTTAAAATTTTGATAATTTTATTTTGTCGCATAAAAGAGTTAATATGTACCTTGCCGACAAGTTTTTGGATTGTACAAAAAAAATCGTTGGAGCTTTGGTGTATTAGCACGGCATTCTCTGATGAGGGCCGCGCATTATTATATTAGGAGAAATGATTTGTAACGGTGTGTAAATGAAAGATTTTGAGATGGAAAAATCAGGAAAGTTAGCCTTGTTGGATAGAAGAGTTACCTTGATCTTTAAAATGACCTTCAGATATAGAAGGATTTAAATGTTTTCTTTTTTTGCCCAAAAACAGCTTATAATTAATTAAAAAAAAATTAAATGCATCTTTTGGTTCTTACAACTTTTTCGGGACCTGCCCCATTCTGTGATCTCTGTTGGTCCTCTTCGAGAGCCATAATTAATGAGTACCCTTTAAACAGAAAGATTATTTTAGAAAATATAAATGACATACGGCTACTTTCTGAGTACCTGACACAACCAAATTTCATTCCACTTGCACCGAACAGGTGTGATCACAGAGTCGGAATGCCGGTTCTGCCTTGAATATGAATATGAAACTTCAGAGCATATTCTCCGTCTCTGTCCGGCTTTGTCAAAACAAAGATTGATCCATTTTAGAGCTTCAATGGTCGAACCCTTTGTTATAAAGAATTTTCCTATCAAGGCCCTTTCAGGATTCATAACAAAAGCCGAAGGTATCTTCGCCACACAGGTCCTCTTGTTCTGTTACACCCAAAAATTAACTAACTAATTATATAGAGCTATGAGAACCCAGGTTTCTTATTGAACGTCAAATTTCTCGACCTGAAATTATTTTGTCAAACTATCTGCATTCTTTGATGGATTTGCCGAGCTTGTTTTTAATAGCTCCCGATAAATCCGATAGTTGTGCCGTCATGCCACCACTTTACATTCAGCTAAACTGGCTGGCTTCGCCGATTTGTTAGTTCTCTCATTGCTTTGGATACTCTTGTTTTCGGGATTCCAAGCAAGGTAGACAATTCTTGACTGAGACAGCATAATTACATTTTGCTTTTCTTGAGCTAATTTGAAGTCAAGATTTACTTGCCCTTTATTGAGGTTCTATCATCCTTACCACTTTTCTATAAAATGTATATACTATATAGCATATAGAGTGAGTTGGCTTAATTTTTTCCAAATCCTCATTTCGAAGGGTGTTGGTATATTTCCGTAATTTTGATTGTCTAACCAACTAGATTAATTTCTAACGAAATCTGGCCTTGGTGCAATTGGCTACGCGATTTTTTAGTAGTTCAGTTTTCTATTAAAATACTTCATCGAATATATTCCACGAATTAAATTAAATAAATTCACAAATCTTTTCCAACTGCCCCCTTTGAATATACGTGACAGAGAGCATAGGGCTTACAAAATTCACTACAATGTGAAGGGATTATGTGAAAGGATAATGCCTAGCTGAAACCGATACTGTCTACATCACAATGGCGTACCATACAATACCAGCGATTGTGCCAATATGTATCGACAATAGCGATAACAAAAGCACGCTAACCAACCGATGTGTAACCGATAATCCACTTAATCCGCCTACAAGAACACGACCAATTTACACACATACACATACATACATGTATGTACATACATATGTATGCAAATATCACAAATATATAGACCATTGAACGACCAACCAAACAACAAGCAATGCCTTAAGGCCAAATAGCGACAGAAGACTTGAGACGAATATGTACATGTGTATATTAGGGTGGTTAAAAAATGCATGTGAAAAAGTAAGGTAGAGATTTTAATGCTCTCAGCCCCTAGCATTGTGCTATTTTGAAATCAAAATAAATATTTAGAGGTCTGTTGAAGCTCTCAAAATTTTCCGTGTATTTTATACGGGGTATAGAAATGGTATAGAATTCTTGAAAATCTATATTTTTAGATTGGAAAGCTCTGTTTCTCTACAGAAGACTCTTAATAATAATACCCATTTATTTATTTAACCATTTATCCTAGTAACTCTATTTTATAGGTCCACCAAAATCCCCTGAAAATGCAATGCAATAGAAAATGGTTAAATAAACAACGTTTTCTGATCGAAAAATACTGATTTGCAATAATTGTATACCACTTTTATGAAAACTTGAAACGACTTAACTTCTTTTTTGACCACCCTAATGTATATTGCATATGTAGACGACTGAGTGAGCAGATAGGCAGAGCTGAATAAACCATCAAATCAAGCAAACCCAAACTGGTTAGATTGTTCGCAAAACACTAATTCATCGCACTTTAGTTTAGTATTAAATATACGAAAATGCATAAAATAATGGTTAGAGCGGAGCAAGGAAAGAAGCGGAGAGGTTTCTTGTGTGGAGATAGAAAAAAATTGCTGGAGATTGTGTGTGTGCTTGTGGTATTTGGTGTAACGAATTTGAGTTTATGGTACATAAAATGTACTATTCAGGCGCAGCGGTAATCACACGAACTAACAATGTGGCACAAACTGCAAGAAGACAACAATGTGCGGAGAAATACAAATTAGTAAATAACAACAACAACCAATAAAGCTGCAGTTACCGGCGTTACCAGAAGTTGAGATTTGTCTTCAAACTTAGGATTATTTTAAATCATAATTACGATTTTTTTGGATTGAAAGAAAACTTTTAATAAAAAATTTTTAATCGCATAATCTGCGTCGAAAAAAATCCTCAAAGCGTAGATTTTTGTGCAAAGTTTATGTACACATATTAGGTTGCATCACTAAAAAAAAAGTTGCGGGTCGTCCACCGGAATTATAAAATCTAGATATATTTTAAGACCGCGGGTCGTCCACCGGAATTATAAAATCTAGATATATTTTAAGACCTCCAAAATATTTCGAAAAATTATTAAGGTTTTCTATTCATATATTCGAACATTCGCATATTCATGTGTCGAATATCCGGGTGTTCTTTTGTTATCAAGATATCCGGTTAGTATCGGTTCATTTTGCTATCCGGATATCCGTTAATAGACGTGCATTTTTTGCTTAATCAGATATTCGAAAATATTAACGAAATCCGAATAGAACTTCGAACTCTAGTATTTAAGCATGTCGGAGCAAATTTCCACATCCAGAACTACGAGAGCTCTAATGAAGACCCTAAATAATGAGATGGCTGTACACCATGATAATACAACCTGTGGCAAACCATGAGACAGTAGTTTGGGTCTCAAGAACTAATCTACCAACGGGGAGTCAATAACACGACATCAATGGAAGTCATTCTCAAACATGAGACACTTCACCTAAGCATACACGGAGCAGGTCGCCAAACAGAACCAAATAAATTTTACAAGATAAAAATTTGAAAAAAAGTTATATCCTATTAGCACATAAAGAAACTGGTGTCTTCATTTCCACTAAATTCATTTCCATAGTTTTTGAAAAGAGATTTAAGGTAGATTTATGCAAAAAAGGCAAAAGGAAGGAATAAGCTATGCATATTGTTGAAAGATCTAAGCAGATTTTGCAACTCGGCTAAGGAGATACCTTCGCATATTATCGTTGACTGTGAAAACGCGCCGTCAAGAGAAGTCGTGAAAGTATTCTACGCTTAAGAGGTAAAACCACTTTAAAATATTCGAAAGATATATTTTCTCTTTTTTGGGTTGGGCAGCTTCACAGAAGCTCCCGCTAACACCTTCGAGACCCTTCCCATACCATCTGACGTCCTTGTTGGCTAGTGTCAGTTGCGCAAGATGGTAACTGCTGCAGCGCACGCTTTATTCCGTTCGGTAGATTCACTGTAACACCCCGGTGAAGCTGATGAACCGGCAAATGAACGTGACCATCTACGTCAAGTTCATCGAATGGAACACGGTGTAAGAAATCTTAAAATGGAGGTTTGTCGACTAGTGAACCGAAATAAGCGGAAGTAATGGGAATAGCTTCTTAAGCCCCGCAACTTCATTTCTGTTGTGAGTAGTTTTTCTTCAACAGTGAGGTCCCTTTCCATTTCGATGGAACTTAATGAGAGGGTGGAAATCAATTCTGTGGTGGTGCCTCGTAAAGCTCGAAAGAAATGCGCTATCTATTTTAGCCGATTGCCTTCACGATTTCCTTCAGTGCAAAATATAAACGTCAACTGACAGCAGGCTAAAAAAGCACCTACAACCAAGTCGACTTTGTCTTTCACTAGCGATGAAGTTAAGATGGCGTACTATTGCTAAAACATTTGAGTCCAACGGTAGTAATCTACCGACCTTACTCCTCAGTAAATTGTTGGCTACTCTTATCATTTCTTATAAGTGCCAAAACCTTGCCAACCAGCCTACAAAGGAGGGTCTACTCGGCCGATAACTTCCTTTCCCAGTACTACTGCGTTATTTTACGTGCAACCAAACCCTGCCACGTACCAACATGGCTTTCGTAAAGTGTGCAGACCCCCACAGCACTTACCGCCATAAGTATTCGGATAACTCGTGGTTTTAGCCGAACCACCCTAATATTTATCATCATACCTGTCGATAGTTATCGAAAACGTTTATCACTCCCCTCTACAAAAGGATTTTGGGATTACATCAGTTAAACTTCCGCACCACGAAGCTTGCGAAGCCAACGCAGAGAGTTTCATCGATCTCATCCACGAACGACTGTCTTATATTGGCGTCCGGAGATGGCATTGATGCCCTTCGTTTTAAAACAAGCGGTTATCTCTCCGATCTTGTGAACTTAATTTTTGCACGGGGCCTTACACTCTCAAACCGACGGCGACTCTTTTTCCATCACAATTATGCCGAGGGTTATTAACCCGAAAAATTTGGGAGCCACTTTTGAAAGAATGCTATTCTTCTTCATACACACAATCGTCACTGCCAATAAAACATCGAGTCCTCTAATCGGCAGTATAACGTGTGAAGACATTGGTCATATCTTCAAAAAAAAAAGGTCAGGGAATTCGGGACCTCGAAATAAAGCTCTCACGAGGATATTGCAGAAACTGCCTGGATGATGGACAAACA